AAGAGTGTTTGGTTCAGGGGCAGGGGCGGGGTGGAGGGGAATGACTATTCTATTTAGATGACCCCAAGGTCCTGAGCAAATCTATATCCCTCCCATTGGGTTTTTTGACTGGGAAGGTAGAGATGTTACAAGAACTTGTTTAAAATATGATGAATCCTTTTTCTATCAGATTCTTACTATTTATTTTAATCATTATTTAGCTCTGGATTAGAGACTATTGGGCAAGTTTGGGTAGAAATTTAGATGAGTCATTCTGGACCTTTATGGATTTAGCCCCAATAATCCTGCAAACAACTGTATGTTTGAAACTTTGTTCCCTTTTTGTTCTAAAGTGCCTCTCCAACAATTTTGCTTATTTCAAAGATTCCTCCAACTGGGCAGTAAAATTCCAAATTATCCTTGGTGAAATTATGCTTTCTAGAAAGATAAGGCCACAGATTTGGGTGATAGTGTAAATGCATGTAAGATGCAGGAGTCTTCTGAGGCAGGGGTACAGCCTTAGGTTTAGACTGAGACAAAGCCATAAATCTGAGAACAGTGAGCCCAAAAAGTTGCTTGTATATCTCATGTTTAACTCCCCCCCTTAACCTAATGCCTGGGCCTTCCAACTATAAACCCCAACCAGATTTGCAGTTCCAAGAGCCAGGCTCTCTAGACAAAGCAAGGGAAGACTGAGGAGAGTTCTCAGGGTTTATTTGTAATCACCCAAACTTGGAAACAACCCAGATGTCCTTCAGTGGATGAGTGGAGAAACTGTGGTACATCCATGCATGTACCATTGTTTGGAATACTACTCAACAATAAAAAGAACTGTTTATCCACACAACAGTTTGGATGAAAGTCAAAGGCATTATGCTGAGAAGAAAAAAAAAAAAAAAAGCCAGTCTCAAAAGGCTACTGTATGATCCTATTTATATAACATTCACAAAATGACAAAAATTATAGAGTGATGGAAAACAGATCTGTGGTTGGCAGGGGTTCGAGTTGCAAGGAAAGCGCAAGGCTATGAAGGGGTAGCGTGAGAACGTTTCTTCAAGGTTGGAGAACAGTTCTGTTTTCTGGTAGAGTGGTGACTACGTGAATCCATACATGTGATAAAATTTCATAGGCTGTATACCAAAAAAAAAAATGTGCATGTAAAAACTGATGAATTCAAATAAGGTCTGTAATTTAGTTAAAAATGTACCAGTATGAATTTTCTGGTTTTAATAATTGTTATGTAAGATGTTATTGGAGGAAGCTGGATGAGGATACATGGGAATTCTTTGTTTTGTTTTGCAACTGTGAGTATAAAATTATTTCAAAACTAGAAGTTTACAAAAAAATTGGAGGGGTGCTGATTTCTGCAGCACCTCTTGGGAATCTCTTCAAATTCTACAGGAAAGGATAACATAAAATAAAGCCTCTGAAGATTTATAAATTAAATGTAGTTTCTAAATGCTATAATTTCATTTGTTATAATTTTGATTTGGAAATTATTTTAATTATATATTATTACCAATATTTTGTATTGTTACAAATATATTGTATACATGGGAAAAAATCCTTTGGTGAGTTTCCCTTCAGGATAAAATAACTCCTTAACCATGATGTACAGCACTCCTGATGAGGTGGCTGCCTTTTTAAACATGTCTCATCTGCCCCAGCATGCATTCTGGGATAAACTATTGGCAATCCTTTCCCCACCCCCACCCCCATATATTCCCCTTTCCTCTTGACTATTATTTTCTCCTTCAAGGCCCAAGTCAAACTCTGCTTCCTCTAAGAAGTTATCCCTGGCCTACAAAGCAGAGTTGCTCCAATGGCAAGCTCTTCCTGTATCTGGAGTTGGAGTGAAATGTGTTGCACTTTGATTATTTTGTTCACTTGTCCACCTCCCACCTAAGTCCATGAATTCCTGGAGGGCCCACATTGGGTCCCATTCCTTCCTATAGACCCCATGCCTGGCACATGCTCCATAAATGCCGATGAGAGAACGAGTGATCTGAGGCTCTGAAAAGTCCTTAGGAATCAATTTTGTCTATTCTTCCCTGACTTGATACAGTAATTTCCCACAAAACTAAAGATCAAAAAGGGTTCTGATTAACCACAGTTAAAATAGTAAATCAATACTCAAGACATCATTTTCCAAATATTAAAAAAATAAAACATTCAACTTAGTTAATATTTTATTATATTAACATTTTTTCCCATTTTTCATTCATAACACAAGTGTTGTGAGTAGCTGGAGAAAGATCACGAGGGTGCACTAGTGAGCATGCTTAGACAGATAAGATCTAGGACTTAACGGTAGGACATGGAGTCTGAAGGAAGATGGGTGGGATGTCAAGATAAAAGAGCACAAGCCTAATGTTAATCTCTGTTTCGCTTCAGAATTTAACTGAAAGAATCAAGATGTTCTCTGCCCTACAGATAGTCGCTCACTAGTCTACCTGAAAGGCTTGACGTTCCAGCATCCTCATGGACGGATGATCTGGCACTCTGTAACTGTCTGCAGGTGTAGATTTTGTGCCCACACTCCAACAAAATGACTCAGAGTGTCACCATTTCTTATTGCACAACTTAATGACCCCACCTTAGGTCTGGTAGCTTCATTCAACAAGCAGATGACCTCCTCTTTGAAACCGGCCACTCCCTTGGCTCCCTGTCCTACCTCTTCTCCTTTCATCGCATCCCTTAACATTCTTCCAAGACTGAGTCATTGTTCTTATGCTCATTTTTAAAAATAAAAGTTATAATAAACATGTTTCCCATATCCTGAATTTCCCATTTTCTAGTCACTGCTGTCTGACATCCTGTCATCTGTAAAGGCCCAGATTAGGTGCCACCTTCCTCCAGAACCCCTCTAACTGCTGAGCCCCCACTCATTCATTACATGTGCCTGGAGCACATAAAAGCCAAATGCACTTTCTCTGCTCAGCACTTCATGTAGCCTCTTTGTGGGGTTCTTTGTTATTTATGAATCACTCTTTATCTCTTCAACCAAAGGATCCTTAAAGACAAGACTCGTGCTTTAAAATGATCCCGCGTCCTCACAGTGACTCACGGGGTGTTTAGCACATTGTGTCAGTAGTCAGTAAACACTTGCTGATTGAGATTGAGGCAATGTTGCAGTAGCTTGGAAAGAGAAACATAAAGAAAACCTCTGAAATTTCCTTTCCCTCCTAATTCTCATGGGGCTAAATTAGAGTGAGCCACCCAGTTCTAGAACAGGGTGCAAAATGGAATTGCTCTTCCTGCCCCACAGTGGTGGTGTGGCAAGAGCAGGGGATTTGGGTTCAGATGGCCGGGGTGCAGCTCCAACCTTGCCGTTAAGGAGACATCAGCCCCACCAGGCTGCTGGAAACATGAATGTTCTCTTCCCAACACATCACATTGGCTGCAGCTCCCTTCCTTCTCTGTCCTCAGGCTAGCTGCAGATGGGCCTGCAACCCACCACCCAGTGCAGGCCACCAGATCTACTCTCAGAACCATCCTAAAACCCTGTTATAAGGAATATGTGTATCAGAGGAAGATGTTTAAATTTCTCACTGAGAGTCCCAAGGCTTCGTGCAGCATCTGGCTGTGTGCAGCCAGAGTGCAGCTAGCATTCCACTCTACACCCTTCTCCTCCCGTAGCCAACCACACCTCCTCAGCGTCAACAAACAAGAAAGGAGACCAGAAAGCCACCCTGACGGAGCCCACCTGCCATCTGAACCCCTCACACCCTAGTTTAACCTCTCCCGTCCATTCATTCATTCCATAAATAGGGATTGGGCAACTGTTGTGTGTGTACCAAGCTCCAAGCCAGTACTAACTGAAGAGAGAAAGGGGTAGCATAGCTCCAAAAGCACCGTTCTTTCTACCTGAGGCCCCAGAGAACAGAGAGCCAAGTCTGTCTCTGCTCTCTCACCCTGACCAGTGGGTCTGTGGGGAGTTGGTTCAGGGTGCTAGAAAGAACTTGAGTCTGATATGTTGAAGATTCTGTCGGTAAAGGTTGCTCAGCCCCCAAGGCAGAGTAATGATGAACCTTTGGTTCCCATAGGCAATATCTCTTACTATCTCACAAAACTCCATGTTCAATAATACCATCATTTTGATTCTTCACACATAAAAACTCAGGCTTGGGTGCCTTCACCTACTTGCCCAACATCTCACAGGCAGTGAGTGGCAAAGCCTGTAACCAAGCCACACCTTCTGCCATCAAACCTGTCTCCAACACACTGCCTCCAAGAGACTGGTGCTGGGAGCCTCTGGTTGATGGGTGGTTCCATGGACATTTGTTGACTTAAAAAGTAGGTGTTTGAGAAACTTGAAGATCTCCAGTGAAGAGCCTTGATGAAGAAAGGGTTGTCTTTCCATCTGCCTACCTAGATAGCCCCTACTAACATGGATTAATTTTAGCAATGAGAAGGAGTTCTGTTTACTATACTCCTGGGTTTCCATTAACCCTTGGAGTTATGATCAGATACAGCAACTTAGCCAGAGCTCCCCCAGAGGACTCCTTCCCCTGGCAGCATCATCCCAACCAGCCTGGGAAAAATTCTATAAGAATTGAGATCATTGGCTGGGCGCAGTGGCTCACGCCTATAATCCTAGCACTCCAGGAGGCTGAGGCAGGAGGATCATTTGAGCTCAGGAGTTTGAGACAAGCCTGAGCAAGAGCAAGACTCTGTCTCTAGTAAAAGTAGAAAGAAATTAGCTGGACAACTAAAAATATATAGAAAAAATTAGCCAGGCATGGTGGTGCATGCCTGTCATCCCAGCTACTTGGAAGGCTGAGGCAGGAGGCTCGCTTGAGCCCAGGAGTTTGAAGTTGCTGTGAGCTAGGCTGACGCCACAGCACTCTAGTCTGGGCAACAGAGTGAGACTCTGTCTAAAATAAATAAATAATTGAGATCATTGTTCAGCAGGACATGTCCAGGACCCCAGTGGCTATGACCTCTGCAGGACTCAGGATATTAGGGGATAGCTATGTGACTTAAAAGTATTATGAGAACAGAATCTTGGAGAAGCTCACCTGAACCTACAACCGTCCAGATCCCTGTCCTGGGTCTGCTGTAGTGGGCGCAGCTGGTGCCCCGGCCAGCCCTGGAACTACTCCACTTGCCCCATCTGTACCTTTGGCTAGTCCAGCTTTGAGAGGCTGAGCCTCTCTATGAGTCAGGTCCTTGCCTGTCCATGGGAAGAAGATGATTGGCTGGATCTGCCAGGGCTTTGTGACCCGCCGGCAGGGCTCCCGCAGCCCCTCAGAACCCTTCATCCCTGCTGCACATATTGCCTCCATGCAACCTTAGAATAACCTGGATGTGTGACCCACAGGGGCAAGGGTAGCAATTTTGCAGATTTTCCAAACAGGTGACTTCAGCCCCCCGGGCCTGGGAAGAAAGGGGTAGCCCAGTGACAATGGGCATAGCCCCACGTCAGGAGCAGGAAACATTTTGGCAGGCTCCACAGAGTTCTCTCTCTTCTGATCCCACAGCGTCTGTTCCAGTTTTCCTGGCCGGTAGGATGGCATCTACAATGCAGAGTCTATGGGAAATCTGGAGTTGGGGGGGTGGGGGGATCGTGGTCAGAGCCCAGCTCAGGAAGTCCAGATGGCTGTCTCTAGGCCGAAGGGGTAGAGAAAAGCACATTTCTATGGTCTGTCTCCTTTCTGAACTGGCCGTCCATGATCTTAGAGACCAGAGTCTGGCTGTGTGTCAGGCGCCTGCTTCTCAAGTGTGCTCGGATTCTCATTGTCTGCCCCGGTGATATTGATAACACTTACAGAATATTGATTGTATGCCAGGCTATGTGCTCAGTGCTTTGTATACATGGCTCACTTAATCCTCATCACAGTGCTATGAACTGGGAACTGTCACTCTCCCTATTTTATAGATGAGGAAACTGAGACCTAAAATCAAATAGTTAGGACATAGTAGAGCCAGGATTTGAACTCAAGTGTTCTGACTGGAGATCCAGTATTCTTAAAGTACTGCCTTTTTGCAGCTTGCTGGAGGCATGCCAGCCTGTAGGCATGCAGGACTGGAAGACCTGGGTGTGTCTTTTATAGCTATGCTGGGCAGAGGGTGGAGGCCTGGGAACTGCAGGGGACTCTTCCAGGGACCAGCCAGAACTGGACTGAAGTTGGGGTAAAAAGAGCCCTAGAGAATTAGAGACGACTGGGAGCCCTTGAATTATCTTCAAAATATATTTGTAGAAAATAGATTGCCACTGAAGATTTAAAAACAAAAAGCCAAAATTAAATTTAGACTGTTGATAAGGTTATTAATTATGAAAATCTGACATTTCAGAGTTATGCAGACTTAATTGGTCATCTTTATGATTTAAGAATATAAGTGCCTAGAGCTAAGTGCTGTCCTACGTGTCTGGGAAGGAACTGAGGATAGTGATGTTTGGTCTTGATGACCTTTTTCAAGGCTTCAGTGTGCAGAATGACCAGAAGCTTCCCCTCTCCCAATGAAAGCTGCACCTGCCTTCCCCATTGCCAGTGGAGGTACCACAAACCTTATGGTCCTAGCGTAGGAAGTGGTTTGGCAAAGTCACCAGACTAACCCTCAGCTTTTCTTTCCCTTGACTCCAGACCTGGTAGCAGGAGTCAAGGGCCTGCAGAGCAGGCCTAGTTATCCCAAGGACAAGTCTCTGGCTGGTCTTCAAGTGGGGTTTCCAGCCACCCTGGATGGTGGCATGCCATAACCCAATCAGGGGCTATTTCTCCTGACAGTCACCATGTGCCAAAGATGATACTAGAAACAAGGGGACAGGCTTGGGAGACCCTGTGATTACATTTCTTGGGACAGAGTCTCCCTCTCGGGGTGGTGACCTACCATTCTCTCAGGTGAGGCAAAGGCACTCTTGGAAACAGGTGTATCATCACTAAGCAACTCCTCAGCCTGTATCTTTGCTGTAATTGGAAACAGCTGATCCAGTTGGTGCCGATTGCTCAGGCAAATGCTTTCTATACCTCTGCCCCCGGCAGCTGGTCTTGTTCGAGTCCAGGCCCAAGTCAACCCCCAATTCAAAAGGCCATCAGAAGTTAGACCAGTTGAGTTCAACTTGTGGCTTTGGGGGATACGAAGGCAGGTTTAGTTCAGTCCAGAATCTTAGAGCAGACTCAATGCTCTAGGCTACTCCGGCCAGCCAAGCTTTTAGGGGACATCTGGGCCAGCAGTAGGCTATCTACGTACCCCCTTCCCTCACATCACCAGCTTTTGACTGAACCTGGCTTCCTATTTGGGGACTAGATCAAAGTTAGGCACTCTCCCTTTTCTAAATTGAGATCAGAAAAGGGGAATTTGAGGCTGAGGAAAAAAACATTTAAAGGAACCTTTTCTCAGGGCCTGGGTGCCACCTGCTGGCCATGTTTAGTTCTATTTACACAACCAAATTTAGGAGAGGAAAATTAAAAGGGCATCCTGCCTTTCACAGCATAATGAGGGATAAGGAAATGAGGAGCTGGTGCTTCATGCAGCTCTAGCAAGTGTGGCAGGGACTCCTTGCAGAGACCCCTGGGTGCCCTGGGTGAGTGCTCCCGAGGCAGATGGACCTCAGCCAGACAGAGAGAAGCACCACCTGGGAGGACCTGAGCCAGTCCTGAGGGAGACTTAGGCTCTGTTCCTAGTATCAGCTGCCTCTCTGCCCCAGAAGCCCCTAGGGGGTGACAACATGATTGATTGCTGCTCCCTGAAAGGAGCTATGTTTTCCAACTTTCTTCTTACAGGCATTGTTGCCACTTTGGGGACCTTAGAATCAGACTGATCAAAAGTACGGAAAATGCCTTCCCATCGTCAGACGCTGATAAAACTAGGAGTTTGTGGCCAAGTTTAGAAGACTTGGGCATCTTTTCAAGTAGCTGTGTAGTTCTTGGTGACTCTTGGAGCCCAGATAGCAAGGTCTTTAGTTATATTCTAAGCTCTAGGGGAACGGGAGGTTTTTCCTGTGTACCAAGGAGGAAGAGAGCTAACACTTTCTCTCCCAGGAAGGTGGCAAAACATCCCAACATCCCAGTCTATGCCATGGCAATACAGACCAGGAAATCCCAACTAAGCACATGTATCAGATGAGGGCTGTGGTTCTCATACCTGGCTGTGCACCAGAATCACCTGGGGTATTAAAAAATATATGTCAATATGTGTATGTATAATGTACATACATTTTTATATAAGAACTTTACATATCATGTATATTACATGTAATATATAAGTATGTATATTGTACACACATGCTTGGACTCCACTCTAGCCTACTGAAAAGCCTCTGCAGGAGAAGCTAAGGTGCCCTCCTAGTGAAGAACCTCTGGAATGTGTGCAGTGGGCCTGAACCATCAGCAGGTCCAGTCCTCTGGACTCTCAGGATGGCTGCTCTCAGTCTGGAAGGCCCCTTGAATCTCAAATGATTTCAGTGAAAAACTGGAGGACAAGTTTGGACTAGGACCTTTGCCTCCACTTTTCTTCAATAATCCGCCCTTGAAACTCACACACTTTAAACAGAACAAAATCCATAAATTGGCTCAGAAACTCCCAGGGCCAACCTAAGACGACCCTCAGAACCCCCCTGACCAGCTCAGACCCTGGAGGCCTAGTAGTGTGTCAGCCACAGCAGGGCGACAATCACTGTACCCCAGGGGGCCCCAAGGCCATCTGCAGAAAGGAGTCTCTGAGGCTGCAGAAAGCTCCCAAATAGTCATTCCCGACAGTTGCCAGAATAGCTTGTGCCCTCTGCGCCCAGCTCCTGGCAGGCCTCTGCAGACCCCCTGGCCACCTGGCAGAGCTGACCACGTACACTAATACTTTGGGGCCATTCAAATCCATCTCTCTTTAACTGCACACTGTCTCTTTCCTGACTGTAGCACTTACTGTTTTCACCACACTTTGGGCATTCGGTTATACTGCTCTCATGTGCGTTTGTCTCCCCAGTCAAGATTATGAACTCCCTGAGGACAAGGGCAAATCTTTTCAATTTCTCACAGTCTGTAACAAAATAAATACCACAATAAAATGCCCTTCGCTTGACCCTGCCTCTTTCACAAGTTCAGTGACCATCCACCCCCCCTCCACCCCCCCTCCACCACCACCCCCCCTCTACTCCTGCTCTTGTTATTTTAGGTCTGTCCCCAGAAACTTGGAAACACTCTCCTAACTCCAGTCTCTGCAGTTATGTTCCACCAACACGGTTAGGCAATTGTCGTTCACTTAGAATTGGTCTGGAACCCAAAAGTGAATGGAACGTAGCCTGGCCATTGGAGAGCTTACAGTCAAGGCGAGGGACAGACACAAGTGACCTCAAGGGAATGTGAGAATGCCGTGATGAGCTGTGCTCCAGTGCTGTAGGAACAGGAGGGGCATATCTTCACATTGGGGTCCAGGGAAAGTTCCCTGGACACAATGCCAACTCCACTACGGAGTCCTAAAGGTCAAGTGGGGGTGGGGGACCCAGGCCAGAAGGTGATGAGAGACAATTCAGAAAGAGAGGACATGAGGAGGTGTCGATGGTTCAGCAGCTTTTCTGAACACCTTGCCTGTGACAGGCCTGGATACCTACTCCTGGCTTCAAGGCACTTCCTGACATGGGGGGCAGACCGTCCAGCGGTGACCATGTGGGTCGGGGTACAGGGCAGTGGGGTGAAAGCCATGTGTAAGAGGAGACTCAAGTGCAGTCATAATTACCCTCTGAAATCTCTGAAATTGCCAGGCCCTGAGTCTTTAGAGACTCCCACGACAATAATTTTTGTTTCTCTTGGCTTTTTGGCCCTGCCTGGCCTCCCTTTCCCTGGGCAATGAGGGACAAGGTTTATTTTTAGGAAGAGGAAGGACTAGGAATAAAAGAGTTTTCTCTCATGATTTTTATTCAAAAAATCCATTTAAATGTGCATATAATGAGGTTCTATTATATATACTTGGGGTCAGGGTGGGGCATGGGAGGAGCACAGCCCGGCAGATGCCATGCGGAGCCCCGCTCTGAAGCAGTGCTTCCTGGACCCGACCGTGCCCGCACACCCTCCCGCATCTCGGTCGGAGGCAGATGCTGATTCAGTAGGGTCTGGGGTAGGGAGAGAATGGAATTTCTAAGAAGCTGGTGCCCATTTAACCCCAGTAATGCTGTCCCGGGACCTCAGTTTGAGACCGTGGAGCAGAGAATGGATGGAC